GACGAGTCCACGTGCAGCCGACAGTATCAACAACGCAGCAAGTCCACTCTTCACGCCAGTGAAGGGTAACCTTAGCAAACATGAGGGTCCAAACCTCACCTTTGTTTTGTTGTGTCTTTGAAGCGGGTAGCCGCGCCCAATCTTCGCCTTCAGCATCCCCACGGCGTTCTCGATTGTTGCCTCCCCAAACTGTTGTTGGCTCCCCTGTTCGAGGTTGGGGAAAAGGAGGTTTTCTACCTCCCCTTGAAGGGTCGCCAGGTCCTCTGGACACGACAAACAAATGCAAGTAGAAGCATGAGCAAGGTTGATAATGTTGTGTGCTTCAACGAAGCTTGGTTTAGAGGGGCCAAAGTACTTGGACAAATAAGCGATCTTGTGAGCAAGAGCAACAACAACAACAACGAACAAACAACAAACAAACAACAACTTTGACTTTGACTTGTTTCGCTGGCGGTATTGGTGCCGATACAGATGGGAAGTTGGAAATGTACGTCGATGAACGCAGTGATGGCACGCCTGTAAGTACCTGGAGACGTCGGCAGGATCGCACCCCTTGGACTTGCAGCTGGCCCATCTGCAGCAGACGCGGGCGCGGGCGAGCTAGCGGCGCCAACTTCACCTCCTCCAGACCCAGACCCACAAAGAGGTGACGGTGAACCAACTTCTGGGCCAACTTCTCCCAGCCCGCCCAGCCCGCCCTCCACGTCCTCACCCACATCAACATGATGTGACTCGTTCGTAACGGCAGCAGCAGTATAAGACTCCATGCTTTCGCTCATGCGGAGGTTTGTCGGCTCCGTTGGGTACGCAGCAACGGCGGTCAGAGGAAGCGTCCCACGTCTCTCGCTTTCAAAAAAAAGGTTCTGTAGTATGAGTTCTGGAGGCGTTTTCGTCGCTGGAGCACGAGTCTCTGTCGCCAGTGCTGGAGTACGCACGCCGCCCAGCTTCTGGACGGCTTCTGGAAACCTCGCTTGGAACTTTGGTGCCTGTTCCCCATTGCAGTTCACGTTAGCAGCAGCAGCAGAGGCAGCAGCGGCAGCAGCAGCAGCAGCAAGAGCGCTTCTATATCATGTCGCCGTTGCTCAACAGAAGCCGGTTTGGCGCTCATGGCGACGTCATGGGCGCTTCCCCCTCAGACGAAGCCGGAAAGACTGCTCTCTGCGACGAGATCAAGAGCAGAGCTAGGTGTGGGACTTGATGGGTAAACGCACTTGTGTAACCGCACAGCAGCAAGAGGTAGAGGGGAGGACAATGTTCGTCCACCTAGGTACTGCGAGTTAGAGAGAGACGGCGTCTTCTGTTGTTGTTTGGCAGTTAGCGGTGTAGACAACCGTCCGGCGAGAGAAAAGATGCAATTCCCCGCGAGCAAAGCCGCACTTCCAATCTCGCCGCGTGGACGGGTGGGCCGCATCACCGCTTCATTTGTCCAATACTCCCTTGAACAGTGCCGCGGCTTATATGCGGATTGTTTCCCTGTCCACGTGCCGCCGCTTTTAAGGCGAAAGGTACATGAAGGTGTAGCGAATCACCCTCTCGACGACGCTCGTTCTTGGAAGATTGTTGGCCATCACGTGCGCAAGGAAGACCCCCCCCCCCCCCC